TTAGTCGAAGCTGCTGAACGGCGGAAAATTCTGTCCTATGTATTTCATCCAAGCCTCGCACCTATTTTGGCTAACATCTGTCTCCAATGCGTGGCCAACTGCGATGAAAACCAGCATGTCGCAGCAGCTGACGCCTTGTGCCCGCCCAATCACCGTTGTTTTCCTACAGCAAAACTACTAACACAACCACGTCTGACGACCTTCGAACAGGAGTTGTGAGGCGTTTCGGTCCTCTATCCCTTCCCATAACCGTCCCATCATGTGAACATCCCCGCCACGTCTTTCACACCGTCGGTCTACCTACCTTCCACTACGGCACAACCGGGTCGTGCATTAGGCAATGTAGACATGACGATGGTCCAGCGAAAGTTCAAGTTCGCTCAAACTGGCTTTTTTAGATAGGCGGTTGTTAAAATTTTTGTGTCTCGTGATCCTGAGAAGTGTGAGTAAAAGAACTATAAAGAGGACTGAAAATCAAAGAATGTAATAGTTTTTTTGTTGGCACCCGCGCTACGAGTATGGTAAATCAAGCAACGCGACCGCTGTCAAAAACAAGGTTGGTAAGGAATGCAGTGGATCAAGTTTTGTCGAGGGAGGGGGAGGACCTGGGATGTGTAGTTGGACATTAACTACGATGTCAATATACCGTCCAAATGACTGTACTACGGCCGGTAAGCGTCCTTCGCGTCATCGATTCCAGTGTCTTAACCGAAGAACATTTCTGGAATTGCCTGGCTTCAGAAATTCGGGAGCTCCAATCAAAGTTTTGATCTCCCTGGGCGTAAATAGCTGCCTGAGACAAAGATTGAGAAGCTCATTGACATCATACCGAGTTCTGGAAGTTAAGTGGTAAACGTTGCAAGTCAAGGGTACATTTATTTTGTGCTTTTAAATCAACAGTTCTCTATTGTCTCGAATTTATGATTATAGAATCTCATAAGGTCGACCGGGGAAACGAGGAACGCGCACAACCCAAAAGTTTTGTTGAGAGAGTGTTGAGAATGTCTTTCATTGGATTAAACTAAAGCAGATGCTCT